TGGTTTTGAACTCCTGACCTTGAGCAATCCGCCCGCCTCGGCCTCCCAAGAGCTAGGATTACAGGCGTGAGCCACAGCGCCCGGCCTCATTATAACTTTTTATATATTGTTTAGAAGTTGGAAGGCTCTATGAAGCTTATCAAGACAACTGAGGTTGAGCTCTGAGGGGAATTCAGTAATAACTTGTATATTAAAAAAGATAACTGATAGAAAAGAACTTCTTCAACTTGACAAAGAACATCTACAAAAAATTTATAGCTAACAACATACTTAATGGTGAGAACCATAAGTTTTCCTGCTAAGTTCAGAAACAAGGCAAGAATGTACCTTCTCATCACTCCTTTATAACACTGTACTGAAAGTCCTAACTAATGAAATAAGACAAGAAAAGGAAACAAAAGGTACACAGATTGGGAAGAAAGAAATAAAACTCTGTTCAGAGATGACATGATCATCTATGTAGAAATAACAAAAGAATCACTAGACAAACTCCTAGTACTAATGAGTGATTATAGCAAGGTTGAAGGATATAAGTTTAATGTATTAATACAATCACTTTCCTACATGCCAGCAATGAACGGGTGGAATTTGAAATTAAAAGGACAATACCATTTACATTATCATCCCCCCAAATGAAATACTTAGGTATAAATCTAACAGAATATGTACAAGATCCATATAAGCCAAATAACAAAACTCTGATGAAAGAAATCAAAGATTTAAATAAATGGAGAGATATCCCATGATCATGGATATAAAGAATCAATATCATTGAGATGTCAGTTCTTCCCAACTTGATCTACACAATTAATGCAATGCCAATACAAATTTCATTAAGTTATTTTGTACATATCAACAAACTTGTTCTAAAGTTTTACATGGAGAGGCAAAAGGCTCAGAATAGCCAACACAATATTAAAGGAAAAGAACAAAGTTGGAAGGCTGGAAGTATCCAAGTTCAAGACACTCTATAAAGCTACACACCCCAAATGCTGCTGCAAGCATACAGGCCTATCACCACCATGCCAGGCACCTGCACTTGTCAATTCGGGAGCCTGGGGATCAGACAGCTTCATTCACTACTACCAGTGCCTAAATATACCTTCTGGGGGCCTCACAAAACTCAACAGCAAAAAAACCAAATAATTCCATTAAAAAGTGGGCAAAGGATCTGAATAAAAATTTCTCAAAAGAAGATGTATAAATGGCCAACAGGCATACCAAAAAATGCTCAACATCATTAATCACCAGGGAAATGCAAATTAAAAATATAATATCATTGAAAAAGAAGACCCCAAAGGCAATCACAGCAACAACAAAAATAAATAAATGGGACCTGATCAAATTAAAAGGCTTTTGCACAGCCAAAGAAACTGTCATGAGAGCAAACAGACAACCTACAGAATGGGAGAACATTTTCACAAGCTATACATCCGATAAAGGGCTGATAACTAGAATCTATATAGAATTCAGGACAATCAGCAAGAAAAAATCAAACAACCCTATCAAAAAGTGGGCAAAGGATATGAACAGAAACTTTTCAAAAGAAGACAGAATAATGGCCGATAAACATATGAAAAAATGCTCAACATCTCTAATCATCAGGGGAATGCAAATCAAAACCACAATGAGATATCACTTATCTCCAGTGAGAATGGCCTTTATCAAAAAGTCCCAAAACAATAAATGTTGGCGTAGATGTGGAGAGATAGGAACAATCCTACACTGCTGGTAGGACTGCAAACTAGTGCAACTTCTGTGAAAAGCAATATGGAGATACCTTAAAGCGATACAAGTAGATCTATCATTTGATCCAGCAATCCCAATACTGGGCATTTACACAAAAGAACAAAAGACATTCTATAAAAAAGACATCTACACTTGAACGTTTATAGCAGCACAATTCACAATTGCAAAGATGTGTAAACAACCCAAGTGCCCATCGATACATGAGTGGATTGATAAAATGTGGTATATTTATACCATAGAGTACTATTCAGCTATAAGAAACAAAGGTGATATAGCACCTCTTGTATTTTCCTGGCTAGAGCTGGAACCCATTCTACTAAGAGAAGTATCCCCAAAATGGAAAAATAAGCACCACATGTACTCACCAGCAAATTAGTATTAACTGATCAACACTTAAGTGGACATATAGGAATAACATTTATCGGGCATCCGGCAGATGGGCGAGGGGAGGAAGGGATGGGTATATACATACATAATGAGCACGATGTGCACCATCTGGGGGATAGACACGCTTGAAGCTCTGACTCTGGGGGAGAAGTGGGGGAAAATGCAATACACATAACCTAAACATTTGTACCCCCATAATATGCTGAAATAAGAAAAACAAATATAAAAAAATATATATATCATATCATCTCACCCCAGCTAGAATGGCTACTACCAAAAGACAAAAAATACCAAATGCTGGTAAGGATGCAGACAAAAGGGAACTCTCACACACTGTTGGTAGAAATGTAAATTAGTATAGCAATTATGGAAAACAGTATGGAGGTTTCTCAAAATACCAAAAATAGAACTTCCATATGATCCAGCTATTCCACTACTGAGTATTTAGCCAAAGGAAAAGAAATCAGTATATCAAAGGGATACCAGAACCCCCATGTTTACTGCAGCACTTAACAATTTACAATTGTCAAGATACTGAATCAAAAAAAAACAAACAATAAATAAATAAATAAATGATACTGAATCAGCCTAAGTGTCCATCAACAGATGAATGGATAAAGAAAATGTGATATATATACACAATGTAACAGTATCTAGCCATAAAAAAGAATGAAATCCTGTCATTTGCAGCAACATGGATGGAGCTAGAAGTCATTATTTAAATGAAATAAACCAGGTACAGAAAGACAAATGTCAACATATTCTCACTTATATGTAGGAGCTAAAAAAAAAAAATGTTGATCCCATGGAAGGAGAAGGTAGAATGACAGTTACCAGAGGCTTGGAAGAGGGGAGAGAATGAAGAGTTGTTGGTTAATGGGTACAAACATAGAGTTAGATAGAAGAAATAAGTTCAACTTATTGATAGTGCAGGAGGGTGACTGTAGTTAACAATAATTTGTTGTATATTTCAAAATAGCTGAAAGAGAAGCTTTGAAAGGTTCCCAACACAAAGAAATGAGAAATGTTTGAGGCCATGGATATACTAAATACTCTAATTTGATCATTACACATTATATGCATATATCAAAATATCACATGTACATCATAAATATATACAATTGTTACATATCAATAAAAATAAATAAATAAATCTATAGTAATCAAGATAGTGTGGTATTGGCAAAAGAACAAACAAACAATGGAACAAAAAGAGAGTACAAATACAGATCTACATAAGTATAGTCAACTGATCTTTGACAAAAGAGCAAAGGCAATACAATGAAGAAAAGAGAAGTCTTTTCAACAGTTGGTACTGGACCAACTGTATATCCACATGAAAAAAAAATGACTCTAAACGTAGCTCTTATCACTGTCACAAAAATTAACTTGAAATGGATTATAGAGCTAAATGTAAAACACAAATCTGTAAAATTCTTAGAAGATAACAAAGGAGAAAATCTAGGTGACTGTGGGTATGGCAATGATTTTTTAATGCAAAAGGCACAATCTATGAAGGAAAGAACTGATAAGTTAGACTTCATTAAAATTAAAAATGTCCACTCTGCAAAAGACACTGTAAGAGATAAAAAGACATGCCACAGACTGGGAAAAATGTTTTCAAAAGACCTATCTGATAAAGACAAGTTATTCAAAATTTACAAAGAACTTTTAAAACTTAACAGTAAGAAAACAAACATCTAGATTTAAAAATGGGCAAAAGATCTGAACAGACATGTCACAAAAGATATACAGATGACAAAGAAACATATGTAAATGTGCTCCATATCATATGTCATCAGGAAATTGAAAATTAAAGCAATGAGATACCACTATACACCTATGAGAATGACCAAAATTCAAAATACTGACAACACCAAATGCTGACAAGGATATGGAGCAACAAGAACTTTCATTGATGGTGGAATGTAAAAAAGCCACGTTGGGAGACAGTTTGGAAATGTCTTATAAAGCTAAATATATTCATACTGTATGATCCAGCAAGCACACTACTTGTTGTTTATCCAAATGAGCTGCAAATTAATGCCCAAATGAAAATCTGCCCACAGATATTTATGGTGACTTTATTCATAATTGCCAAATCCTTGGAGCAACCAAGATATTCTTTAGTAGGTGAATGAAAAACTAAAATGTGATACATTCAAACAATGGGATATTATTCAGTGCTAAAAAGAAATGAGCTATAAGTCATAAAAAGGCATTATAAAAACCTTAAATGCACATTTCTAAGTATAAGAAGTCAATCTGAAAAGGTTACATACATACTGTATCATTCCAACTATATGACATTCTGCAAAAGGTAAACGCATGCAGACAGTTGAGTTCCATGGTTCCCAGGGGCCAGGGGTAAGAAGGGAGAAATAGGCAGAGCACAGAAGATTTTTAGGGCAATGAAACTACTCTGTATAAAGTTGGACACATGACATTATATATTTCTCAAAACCCATAAAATGCACAATACCAAGAGGGAACCCTAGTGTAAATTATGGACTTTGGGCAATAAAAAATATAGGTTCATCAAATGTAATAAATGATACCACTGTGGTGTAGAACTGTGACAGTGGCAGAGACTATGCATGTGCACAACATAGCATATACAGGAACTCTGTGTTTTCCACTCAATTTTGCTGTGAACCTAAAATTTCTCTAAAAAATAAAATCCATTAGAAAGTCAAACAAACAAAAAAGACATAGCTGTTCACCATCTTCCAATACTCTACCCAGATCAAAAATAGTTGTTTCCAATACAGATCAGAAATCAAAATCATTGTCTTTTTCTAAAATTTAGCCTCCAAAAACATAATTGGTACTTTAAGACCCATGACAAGGATCAAAGAACTTACTTTTCAATTTTCTTCTTCTGTTCTTTTTGCCTTTGTTGTTCTTTTACTTGTTCTCTCTCAATATCCATAAAAAGTCGTCTATGTCTCAAATATTGCTTTTGACGCTAAAGGAAAGAAGTTAAAATTATTAAGATTCTGCTCTCAGAGGAGCAGAAAGAAAACCATGATATAGAAATTACATGAGTTAAGTTTTTAATTTCTTTCTGTCTATGGTGACTCAGAATATCATATACAACAAGAATTTTATATTTGCAAGCATATAGCTATTATATGTTAACAGACAAATCAGAGAAAGAAGTACATGCTTAGTTTGCCCTTAGTACAGTCCCTTGTCAACAGTACTTGAGGAAATGATTGTATTTGATATGATAAGATATATATTATATTTACTCTGTATTCCCAAGTAGTAAGTACCATAAAAACAGGGCCAAGGAAAGAATGTGAGAGGTATTTTATAACAGAATAGTCACATCAACTTTTCAAAATTAAAACTGTATCACAAAAGGATACTCTATGCCTAACCTAACATGGCAGGGAGGAGGATAGAAGGGCTGAAGTATATTAGAGCATCATACTCATAAATGGAACAAATATAATAAAAGGAAGTGCTACTACACTGCATGTGATCTATTCACACCTCTGGATTTACATATTCTCTTTTAAGTATACAAGCTACTCAAAAGGCAAAAAGCATGTATATATATACTAGGGCAGTGTAAGGCTATTTTGTAAAAATTATTAAAAGCCTAAATAACAGTTCTTAATATTGAGGAGGTATCAGAATCACCAGTGGTATTTTTTAAAACACTAATACCCTAAATCTACCTTTTTGGATACTGGTTTAGTACATCTGGTTTGGATCTAGGTATTTGTATTTTGTAAAAACCTCCACATTTGATTCTGGTGCATGGCCAGAGTTAAGCACTGTTGGTTTAAACTAACTTTAGATTGAAAAGAAAAAGAAAGGTATCCACAAATTAATAACCTTCCTTTAAATAAGTTATAGTGACAAATATACCCTAGCTGGAGAAATTCACTAGGTTTAGATCTCTGATTTTACATCAATGTACCCTAATTTCTACAAGCTTGGAAGAGAAATTCAACATATTATAATGATTCAAGCAACTTTTCCTCCTTAATCTATGGAATTTTTGGTATTAGCTCCTTAATAACTGTAAATATTTCTAATTTCACACATACTATCACAGTAGAAATATTGGTATCCAAAAGCAGTACGTTTACAAACCTCTTTCTTATCTTCTTCTTGATCTACTCCAGACTGAAATGCTAGTGGAGCTTGGAATTCAGTGCTTAACCCTGATTGATATTCATCATAAACCTGTTAAAAGTCCAGTTACACAAAGTGAAAACATTACCAAAAGATACCCCCATGAACCATTTTGATGTTTTTATCTATTGATTCTTTTCTTCTGCAAACTTGAGCTCAACTGGATAAAGCTGCGGTCCCCAATCCCCAGTCCAGTCCATGGCCTATTAGGGACCAGGCAGCAGAGCTCACCCGCAGCTTGCCCTGCCCCCCAGACCCCCGCTGAGTTCCTAAGTTTCATGGAAGACAGTATTTCCATGGACTGAGGGTGAGGGGGGCGTGGAGGGTGGGGGGAACCGAGCCAAGCATCATCTGCATACTCACAGCAGCACCCCATCACTCCTGTCACTGCCTGGCCCCCATTCCGGACACCCACCCACTCCTTCCATGGAAAAGCCATCTTCCACGGAAGTGGTCCCTGGGACCACTGGGATAAAGAACCAAAGAATATAAAGTAAAAGAAAAAAGAATGAAAGGAAGCAGTTTCAAAAGGAATTAACCAAACAAAAATCAGTAAACCAAAGAAAAGGATTCAGGTCAAAACCACAAATGAACAAATAACAAATCAAAATGTTTAGAATGAAAGTTCCTTTAAAGTGGTCATTTGAAATCACTCTGTCATGAATGTACTTGGGATTGAATTCAGAATATACAGCCAGATTCCTTCGTATCTCAACCACTTTTAATTTACACAACTCTCTTCATGGGTGTGGGTCCAAAGAAAATATTGTATCAGTTAACTGGCATGACATGCAGGAAACTGGGGCTAATTTCTACCTATATTTCCTAGGAAAGCCTTATGACATAACCTGGTATGCCTGCTTCGACATTATATGGGTCAAATTATGATCTCTAACTTTTAGAAATAAAAAAATTTAAAGTTTCTTTTCTCTCTTTAATTTAAAACATTTATTTTTCAGCAAGATTGTAGGATACAAGATCAATATACAAAAATCAGTTGTATTTCTATACTTATGATGAATAATCTAGAAAACAAAATTAAGAAAAAATGTCCACTTACAATACCATAAAAAAAGAAATATAAATATATACTGTGAAACCTAGAAACATTGTTAAAAGAAATTAAAGAAGACATAAATAAATGGAAAGGAAACTCCCTATGTTTATGATTGGAAGACCTAATATTGTAAAGATGGCAGTACTCCCCAAATTGATCAACAGATTGAATGAAATCTCCATCAAAATTTCAGTTGACTTCTTTGCAGAAATTGACAAGATGATCCTAAAATTCCTATGAAAATGCATGCGATCCAGAGTAGCTGAGACAATCTTGAAAAAGAACAAAGTTGGAGCACTCACTATTCCCAACATCAAAACTTACTACAAAGGTATATTAGTCAAGATAGATTTTACTGGTATAGACAGACATATATAAATCAATGGAATAGAACTGAGAATCTACAAGTAAACTTTTACATTTATGATCAACTGATTTTTGATAAGACTAAGACATTTGAATGGAAAAAGAACAGTCTTTTTAACAAATGGTGCTGGGACACAGGTTATCCACATGTAAAAGAAGGAAGCTGGGCTGGGTGCGGTGGCTCACATCTGTAATTCTAGCACTCTGGGAGGCCGAGGCGGGCAGAGGAGTTTGAGACCAGCCTGAGCAAGAGCCAGACCTCGTCTCTACCAAAAATAGAAAAAATTAGTCGGGCATAGTGGTGCATGCCTGTAGTTCCAGCGAATCTGTCACAAAAAACAGACAGACAAAAAACAAACAAAAAAAGCTAACACACATGTTCTCACTAGTAAGTCAGAGCTAAACAATGGGTACACATGGTCATAAAGTGGTGTAAAGGACATTAGAAACTTCTAAGAAGGGAAGAGGATGGGAGGGGAGTAAGAGATAAAAACTTACTTATCGGGTACAGTGTACACTATTTTGGTGATGGGCACACTAAAAGCCCTGACTTCAGCATTATACAATTCATCCATGTAACAAGAACACTTGTATCCCCCAATATTTTGAAATAAAAGTTATTTTTTAAAAATTAAAAAGCTTATAAAATTAAAAAAATTAAAGAATAATGGCCAATAATTTCTCAAATTTGGTGAAAGATATAAATTTACAGACTTAAATAGTTCATCATACCTGAACTGGGATAAACTAAAAAAGAATTATACCCAGACACATTATAATTTAACTGCCAGAAACCAAAACTAAAAAGAATTTTGAAAGCAGCTAGAAAAAACTCACATACTACATATAGAAGAACAATGACTCAAACAATTACGAATTTGCTATCAGGGCCAAAGGAGACCAGAAGACAGTGGAATTTTTAATGTGCTGAAAGAAAAGAACTGTCAACCCAGAATTCAATATCCAGTACAAATACTTTAAGACTGACGACAAAATAGACATTCTCAGATGAAAGAACACTAAGAGCAAATGTGCCATCAGGAGACTTCCACTAGAAGAAATGCTAAAGGAAGTTCTTTAGGCTGGAGGAAAATGATACCAGGGAGGAATGTGAAACTTTAGGAATTAAAGACAAGCAACGGAAAGAGTAAATATATGGGTAAATATTATAGACTATTTTTCTTCCCTTAAGTTTTTAAAAATGATATGATTATTAAAAGCAAAAAAATTATCTGATGGAATTTTCAATGTAGGTAGATGGCATACATATAACAATTATAACATAAAGGGGGAAGGGTAAAAAGATTTATATGATTGTAAAGCTTCTACATTTACTTAAAGTGGTAAAATATTAACTCAAAGTAGACTGTGAAAGGTTTGGAATGTATATTGTAATCACCAGAGCAACCACTATAAAATAAAATAAAATAAAGAGATAGAGCCAAAAAGATAATAGATCAATTAGAATAAAATTAAGTAACATTTAAATAAAGAAACGTCTTCTTGAAGCCATGATGCAATAATGGAATTGGATTTAACCTCTAGCCTGGAATGACCAAACAAACAAACAAACAAAAATCTATGAAAGAATTATTTTTGGACATTGGACATAAGGAAGAACAGGACAGTGATTCCTCACAGATGGGAAACAAACACAGTTAAGGACTACAATTGCCCAGCTTATTGCCTAGAGAATTTCCAGTCCACTGCACAAGAAGAGAGATCCCAGACAGACCTTGGCAGTCTCCCTGAGGAGCAATAAGAAGAGACCATACTGCACCTTCAATACTTTGCTTGCAAATCTCCTCAGCTAAATGTCTAAGTTCATTGCTTCCAAGTTCTGCTTTCTACACAACTGTATGACACAATTTAGTTAAGTTTTCTGCCACTAAATAGCAAGGATCACCTTTCCTCCAATTTCCAATAACGTGTTCCTCATTTCCTTGAGCTTTCCTGCTAGTGCATTTAATGTCCATATTTCTACCAATATTTTGCTTATGACAATATAGATATTCTCTAAAATGATACAAGCTTTCTGTCATGGGCCTCAAAATTCTTCACTTCTACCTGTTTACCCAATCTCAAAGCCATCTCCACATTTTTTTTACATATTTGTTGTAGTAGTACCCTATTCTCAGTATTAAACAGGAAACAACCCAAATGTCCATCAATAGGAGAATGAATAAACACAGTGGTATATTCAAATAATGGAATACTATACAGCAATGCAAAGAATAAACTACTGATGCAGCAACATAAATAACTCTTATAAATGTTATACTGAGTGAGAGGAAACTTTCATAACACAATTCATACTGTATATGAAGTTCTGGAACAGAGAAAACTGATAGTAGAAAAAAATCAGAACAGTGATTGTTTCTAGTAGAAAAAGAGTAAGAATTGACTGAGAAGGACCATGAAGGAACTTTCTAGGCTACGCTAATACACTATTTCCAGATATAGATTTGGATTACACAGACATATGTATTTTTTAAAACCAATGAAGGGTATTTAAGAGACTCTTAAAGCTTATATAGTCCATTTATGTAAATTTTACCTCAAGGGAGGAAAAAAGCAACTGTAAACAAAATTTAAATTCTAGTTAATGATATGCATGCTGAAGTGATCAGGAGTGAAGTATAGTGATGTCTGCAAAACTTACTTTGAAATGCATAAGATGAACTAATGATTGGATAGATGGATAGATTTAATAAAATGTTAATTGTAGAATGTAGGTGGTAAGTATATGAGTGTTCACAATAGCATGCTTTCAATGTTATATATGTTTGAAAGTTTTCTTAAAAGAAAACAATTCCATTTACTATAGCTTCAAAAACAGCAAAATACTTAGGAATAAACTTAACCAAGGAGGTGAGAGACTTGTTCACTGAAAACTCCAAAATATTGCTGAAAGAAATTAGACACCAGTAAATGGAGAGACTCCCATTTTCATGGATCAGAAGACTTATTGTTAAAAGTCAATACTACCCAAAGCAATCTACAGATTGATACAATCTCTACCAATATCCCAGGGGCATTTTTTTTGTACAAATAGAAAAATCCATCTCAAAATTCATATGAATCTCAAGAGATCCCACATAGCCAAAACATGAACAAGAACAAAGTTATAGGTCTCACAATTCCTGATTTCAAAACTTATTACAAAGCTACAGTAATCAGAACAGAATAGTACTGGCATAAAGACAGACATATAGACCAATGGAACAGAATAAAGAGCTTATTAAGAAAACCTGGCATATATGGTCAAATGCTATCAACAAGGAAGCCATGACCATACACTGGGGAAAGGACAGTCTCTTCAACAAATGGTGCTGGGAAAACTGGATATACATATGCAAAAAAATAAATGAATAAACCTGGACCTTTACCGTATACCACATATAAAAGTTAACTAAAAATGGATTAAAGACATAAACACAAGAGCTAAAGTATAAAACTCTTAGAAGGAAACATAGGAGAAAAGCTTCATGACATTGGATTTGGCAATGATTTCTTGCATATGATACCAAAAGCAAAAGCAACAAAAGAAAAAATAGATTGGACTATATCAAAATTTAAAACTTTTGCACATCAAAGAACACTATCAATAGAGGGAAAAGGCAACCCA